TTTACCTTAATTCACTTGGCTGATTTGCTTTGCTTCTATTAAAATCATCAAAGAAGGTTCATTGGTTGTTCTTTTTACTACAGAATTCTTCATTGTGTGTTTAGTTAGTCTCACTAGCTAGCCCGGGATGTTCATTTCTTTATATCTTGGTGGAGCTTGCATTGAGATATTTTGTCTGAAGTCATCTTGAAGACTAGAAACAACATCCACCGGTTATTATTAAATTTTTTCATCTTAAATTTGGTCTGTATTTCTCTTGGTGGTCTGCTATATTCCTCTTAATTTAGGGCTCTAAATGATGGTAAAGAATAACTGAAAATATTTTACAGGCAGTATTCAGAAGGCTTATTTCTTTTTATTCTTACATTCTTTTGAGTCAACTTTCCTATTGCAGGCTGGATTCACAACTGACTCCTTCCACTTTCCTGGGATCTCTTCCACAAGATATCCGAGCAGTTAGTGAAAACGCTGCCTGATAATTTCAGAGATTCAGTTTAGTTAATTCTTAGCTTAAACTTTTTATTTCTTAGCTTAGTAAGAATATCCTATTTATTGAATTGTGAAACTTCAGAGAGAGAGAGTGATCACTTAACCTAATCCAGTCCATTTTAAGATCTTAACTCTTGAAATCAAGATGTCTCTGTTTAAAATACTATGAATGTTATATCTATTAGTAATGAACAATGTAGAAAAGACTTGTAATGCTTGGAAAAGTGGGGTCCTCAACTTAGTTCTTTAATGTTGCGGGGTACTGTGACATTTCCAAGAAATGGTCACACCTTAATTGCCAATGTTATCAAGTGCTAAACTGGCTTCTTTTGATACCAAATAGCATGTTAGTGATCACTAGATAGATTTTTTTTTTCTTCCCCATATCTCATCTTCATATGAGTAGTTCATCGTCCAGGAATTTCTCACTATTATCAGAAGCAAAAAAATTGTTCATGGTTTTCAACATTTTTTCAAAACTAGGGACTGCATGGATCAAATTAGTTGCCATCCATCATTGTGCCAGAGGGAAAAGGGTAAAATTGCAGTCAGTACGATAGAACCATCATTCATTAACTTGACAGAAAAAACTAGTCTTTACCATTTCAGCTAAAACTGCTTTCTGCCAACAAGTTGGTCATTGAATCCTTTAGTTACTAATAAGGAAATAATTATATATAAAATTAAATCCTCAAATTCATCCATAGGATCTATAAGATAAAGGGATACAGAGACCAGGAATTCAATAATGCAAGTAAGACTAATGTGACAAATTCTTCAAGTAAATAGCTTTAAAAAGAATCCTATGGAGATAAGATTTCATGTGTCTAATAATTTTCTGATGTGAGACATAAGGTGAACTTAAGATAATTAATTAATCTTGGATTAAAAATGTATCTGTACTATTTCGATTTTCCTTTGTTCTTCACCACACCTTATCTTCTTATGATTAGCATTGTCCAGAAAATTCTCACCATTATTGGAAACAAAAAATTGTGGGCGTTCATGGTCTAAAGCATTGTTTCCAAACTAGTGCCTGCATAAATCCTCAATCCAGCAAACTAGTTATTTTGACAACATTGCAAAACTTATAGCATATAAAAAAATCTGGTGTGTCCACTCGCACGACTTTCCTACCTATTTCAGAAAAGGTTTTATATCTTTACATAGGCCCATCAAGAAACAAAAAAAATTGAATTAGATTTATCTTCCTGAAAATTGATTAAAGAAAAGATTTGAGTACGATTTATTTGATAAACTAAAGCAATGTAAACTGTCTTAAGGTAGATCAGTGTAAAAATTTTAATACCCTCTAATATTACTGATCAAAATCTTTTTGCCATAGCCTAATTTTGTCAAACAGTAATTTCTGTCAAAAGGAGAGGAAATAGTGAAGCTTGTGTGATTCAGGCAACAGATTTTCTTACTTTCACTAAGTTATACTTTTTCTCTCAATCATCCCTTTCTGACACCAGGATATGTACCCTTAATCCTTACATTGGAAATTTAATAGTTGTCTGAAATGAAAGATTTTTATATAGTTTTGTAGGGAATTTCACTACCTTTAAAAAAAAACACAGGCTAAACGGTGTTTTCGGACTCAGGGGGGCTCTGAAACGTTGGATCCTTCGAAAATCGCATATCGGAAATTTGACTCGATTGTAATACTTTCCTTACCCAATATAGATAGGAAAGTAAAAACCAGTCTAGTGAGCACAAAGTTTTGATACTGATACCATCAATTGCTGTCAAAATTTCATCCACCATCCGTAACCAACTCCATGAGATCAGCATTAACACAATTTTCCCACCTAGCTTTGACCTACCCCTCGAACATTTACCATACATTAACATATTCATACAAAATAATAATCAGATGTTTTTATTTAATGACCAATTCAGGAACACAATAACTGATATATCTAATAAAACTAATCAGTTTTTTTAATTATTAGGATCAATTTTTAATAGAAAATTAACCAGTTATGTCAACTTGATTTTTTTAAGCTTAGGCTCTTATTTCTTTTTAAGATTTTAATTTATTTCTGAAAATAAGAATTTTGTATTTCTTGATTGACACCTCCAAATTTTACCCTAATTCTTTTAATTCTAAAAGCATGAGATTATGATTCTCCATTCTGCATGATAATAGCTAAAACCTTTATTTCTGAAGTTTTTCAGTCTTATAGTATAGTTATAAACAAGTCTTACATAACCACCATTCTTCTCTGTAACCTGTCATCTTCACAATAATATTTCTTTATAACATAAGTGTTTATTTTAAAAAAAAGTCTCTTTTTGTAAAACTACATAACAAAAACACTTTTTTGTTGTTACCATCATATGAAAATACCCTTTCAGAAAGAGATATTTTTTTATCAATGACAAAATTTATAATAAAAAATTAAAAGTTTATTAGTTAGTTAAGTTTCATGTTGTGGCATGGATATCTTGGGTTGGGCACTCGTGGTCTAATTGAAGATTGTGTTTGAGGTAAGACTTTTGCTTCTTTCCTGACTGATATGAATCAGAGATATCAAATAAAGCAGTCGTTCTTTTTTACCGTTCTTTCTTTCTTTAATTAGCCTTTGAAAACAATATTTCAAAATTTGGACAAAAAAGTATAGGGTGCCAGGTATTATGGAGTAAGTACTTGGTTGGACTTTTTCAGAAGTAATCTGGCATTTTTTAATAATGCATCCTTATGTCTTGTTTAAGTAGCACCCTTAAAATTTTTTAGATTAAAATATTGTAACATACAGAAAAGAGAAAAAAAAAATTAGTGTTCTGTTAATTTAAATTTTGGCTATCTAGAAATAGGAGCTTCAGAACAGCGATTTGAAAGGGCAATTAAATGACGTTTGTCAAAACATTTAATTTTAATAGCCTTTATTTCTTCATGAGATATGAAGGCTCTCTACACTTTATTTTTTTTTTTTGTTTCATAATAAAATCACAGTCATAGGTAAAGGTAAAATCATTTCAAATACTAAATAAAATCAGCAACTATATTACTTTAATAACATTTAATATTTATACAAATTCTACAATGATTTAGTAATTATCAACACCTTGTTAAAATTCAATATAAATTAATAAAAACATATTAACAATGGTAGTTAACTGTGCAATCAGTTCATATATCTAAAAAAAAAAAACTTAACAATTAATATTATTCATTAGATAACATATAATACATCGAAAAATATCAACATATTTTTTAAATATATGTATATATACTAAAAACAATATAGAACTTAAAAAATAAAAACATTGAAAGGAGTTTATAACATCACAAAAAATCTCGTGATAGCTCTAACCAAAACTAGCTTTCTTAAACAATAATAAAGCCCTGATTCAGTCTTGTACTCAGAAGGGAATTCCGGTACCTATTACTACACCAACTCTTGTTTAAACAAACTACTGAGGAGAAAACTTCTGCCATCTCATAGAACATAAAACTACAACAGACTAAGATATTAGGTCATAGTAAATACTAAATGGATAACATCAAAGACATCTAAGATTTATCTGCCTAATATTTAACTAGGTATCGGTTTAGATTTTGTGGCTTTTGGTTATACAGATAAATTTGGAGATCTTAGAAAGCACATTTTTTTTTTTTTTTACTTGTGACTCTAGCAAAGCAAAATATTAATTTATTATGCCCTTACATCACATTACAGAAGTCATTTTAAAAGTGGCATAAGTCCAGTTTGAAGATTTGAGATGATTATGTGTTCCGATTTCAGACAAAGGAGAAAATCGATATCATTATACTTCATACTACTTTGGTTGTGAGAAAAAATATTTAATGAATTTATTTTCCAACCAAAGGATATATGTAAGTGAATGTTAATATTTTATCAATTTTTTCATACTTTTCAGCAATGGAAGAATCTCAAATCAAAAACTTCTTAGTATTAAAACCACATGTCAAAGAAAAAAATATTTTAAAATAAAGTGTGCTTTATTTTCACAGTGTATTTAGTTTGAATTGTAAACAAACAAAAGCTCATCCAAATAGTAAGTGATAGTAATTTAATAAAAAATATATGATGTATTCCATAAATTAAAATGGAAAATGACCAATTAGAACTTTTAAATAAACAAACACAACATACAGGCTTCTTAATCATTATTCATATTTTAAGTTATTTTTTAAAATAAATAATTAATAAGAGTGCTACAAAAATTAACAATTAAAGCTGTTGATGCTAGTGATTTGTAGCTACAGGACTTTTACCACTTGTACAAAATAAATAATAGCAAAGATTTTATACCTCGTCCACAAGAATATGGCAGACTAAGAGAGAACTCCCATGGTACAAAGTTGAAACTAATGACACCTCCTAGACTATACATTTCAAATTTATCTAAATAAATGTGTGAATTGCTATTTATTTGTTATTTCTTGTTTTCATTCAAATTAATTTTCAGATTTACTGCAAAACAGAATGTAATATGTTATTTATGGTTTGTTTGAATGTGAGGTGGGGAAAGTGTTCGCCCCTCTTCTCTCACAGGCTGTTCTCATTTTTCCGCTGCCATATTCTTGTGGAGGAGCTGTAGAAATTCTCCAAAGTGATCCACAGAACACACCAAAACCTAAACCTTGACATTGTGTGGCAGAATAAATAGCAATAGTAAAAGACTCATCTAATTTAAACACCCATTTTCAATTAACTACACAATCATCGGGTTTAAGATAATACAAATACATATTAATATTTTAAAATACATTATAAGTCCATAAGTTTTTTTCCTTTCAATTTGATATGTATCTTCTACAATAGGCCTTGTTATTTTGTTAGAACTGAATCAGTAAGTAAATTAAACAGTTTTTTTTTTTAATAATGAGAATATATTTTAACATGTCATTGCAAGATTATATAGTAATTCAGTTTTAAAAAAATCTTAATTTCATGACATTAATACCCATAATACAGATCAGAAGAATTTAACTCTACAATGCCACAGCACAATTACTATTTTTAACTATAAATGTATTTAAATGGTTTTTCTAACAACGTTACTATAGGACATGGACAATAGAAGAGAACATCTAACATTTAAATAGGAAAATGGTTTATACTATTAAAATGGCAGCATGATTTTTTATAGTATTTCTTTATTGCATCTTTTAAAACATTTTGTATTTGATATATATCCTCTTTTTGAATAACATATCAATACCGATTTCTCTTTTAAAATATTTTTTTTTTTTTTTTACATTTTATAAAAAACAATCTTTTTTACACTTCAAGTATTATTTTTTCACATGTTCCCAGACTTCCAGTCACACCATTTTAACCCACCAATCTTGGTTTCTACTTCAAATAATCAATATTTGTAGTGACCACTGTGGTGTTAAACTAGTCATTACTGATATAATAAAAGCATAAAATACTAGTCTGACAGTTTGCTCAATAAAAAAATATACATAACTTCACAGGATAGTTAAATTCCACAGAATTCTGAATCGTCAAATACTGAAAAGTACAAATAAATAGATCAGTTATCAGTAATGACTTGGTACAATAAAAGAACCGCCATCTCCTTTTCCATCTGATGAACACCAATCATACAGATTTCACAATTATTAAATCTTATATGAGATTTAATACTGGAATCAGTTCCCGTAGGACGGGCCTACATCTAATGAACGATCTGGGTCATACCCTGACGACCGTTGCAGAAAGACACGCAGCATTGCACGCAGTGATGGGTGCAGTGACGGAACTTCAGACCCATGCCTGGACCGTCACCTGGAGTTTGCCTCATGAGGGGAAAACATGTTTCCTCCCACCTAGTCTGAACCATCGCCCGACCTCACGCTGCTTGCCTCTTTTCTTCGATCTCTGTTTTCCTCCACCTGTAGAAAAGTATTGAAATATTATTGAGTGAAAAGTAACTATTTGGCAAAATTATTGAATATTGTGTAAATGATTATGAATATTTTAATATGCATATGTCATATGTCACTTATGTATATTGATACATAATTATTTTATATTAACTGATAGTGTCTGCTATCTCGTTTCACACATTTTCCATGAAAGAAATGTGTAAGAATGATTCAGATTTAAGAAATCTGGAACTTTTTCCCTTTTAATGAGATGACGGATCCTTACTTATTTTAAAGTAATTCAACAAGGCTGACTAAAACACATGTAATGGCTTCAGCTGAAGACACTAAAAGTTATGATGTATGCTCATTAATAAAAGAATCTGAGCAAGAAGAGTTGTCTTTTATGACGAAGGCGAAACCCCTATATAACATGACAAATTAATGTTCACTGAACATATTAATTACAACATTAATGATGAACATATAACGGAGGACTCATCAAGACTTGAAAATGACCCTTAGTATGGTCGAAACATCAAAATTAATGTGTATCAATAAAATGTTGGTGATAATTGGCCTAATTTATTGTAAAAAATAAAAAACTTCAAGACACCAAAATTAGGAAAAATGAACAGAAGACTTTTATACTATGGTTGACCCATAAGATACAATATTGGTAATCTTCTTTCCTAGTTGGAATTAATTAGGAGATTAAATCCAAACAAAACGTTCATTTCTATTGTTAGCTGTTTAATTTCTGCATTTTGTTCACATTTCCTTAATCAGGGAAAGGGAAAGAAAATTTAATAGGTTTTAACAGTGATTATTGACTGAATTGTAGGAATGATAGTAATAATTATAATAACTATTTAAATGTGTTTAAAATTTCTATTTACCGGAGTGGTTCTGATGCCTGCGTAGAGCAGCAGCCCTGGCTAAGTCTCGAGCTGAATCTGGAAGGGTAAGATCACCATTCTGAGCAGCGGCATTGCGCTCACTATCAAGAGCTGCCAACCAGATATTCTTCTCTTCGCTAGACCGAACTGTAAATACCAACCATTTGTCTCCGGTGGAGAGTTTGATACCATGCCTGATGTTGCAGTTCAAAGAGGAGTCTGTTGATAAAAAAAATTATCTTATCAAAAGGGAAAAATGAAAATAACAGGTATTATTTTTAATGTTTTTATATCATTAATATAATAAAGTAGATGAGCTCTCCAGTAATTGATAATTTAATAATAATTAATAACATAAATAAAAACTTACCCTTGCCATCTTGAAGGTTCTTCACTTCACAGGAATCTAATGAGATCCTTCCCTTGTAGACATATGTCCTCCTCTTTAGAATGTCCTGGAAAATTAAAATTATGAAAGATCAAAACTAAGTAAAATAGCATTTCATTTTAGTTTTTTAAAAACTGAAATTCATAAGCAAAAAAAAAAATTCAATATTCTTCATATTAATTTCACTTTATTTTATTCTTTTATTAGTTACTTTAAATGAATAAAAAAATTCAAGCATTAGTAAAACATTAGAAGATTAATAAAAAAACACAATACCTTCTTGCAATAGATTAGCTGTCCATCAAACAAAAATAAACTGACACCGTGACTCCATTTCCCAGGCATTGTGCTAACTTTTAGCTGAGCAGTTTCTCCTTGGTGCAGTAACTGGCAACTCCTTTCAATCAGGTCTTCACCCTAAAAGCAAAATAATTAATAATTATTATTATAGTGATTAATTAATTATTACTATTATATGGTATATAGATTTCTCAATTAATAGGAATAGAATAGAATAAAAAAATGTCAGTAAAATAAAATATCAAAAAATTATTGAAGAATTAGGAATTGCTGAATTAGGTATGTTGTGATAATATCGATATGGATATTTTCCTCTCGAAATTGCCCAATATCATATTGAAACAAAGGATTCGATATTATCGTAATATTGAAAGAAAAAGCCAATATTGGATTTCGATATTTTTTTTTTCATTCATATTATAAAATTAAATCAATATATTTAAAAAACATAAAATTAACGTATTAACATATACCAACATTTTTTTTTTTAAACCATAGAAATACTAACTCTTAAATACCTCCATATATTAAAATATGGAGTTATAATACTATGAAAGAAAACAGCTCATGTCATTTTTGATGGAACTGAACATCTGAGATCGTTTTTGTGAATTTGAACTAATTCATTGATAAAAAATAATGTCAATGCACTATAATGACACAAAACTTACAATTTATGTATATATATCTAACATAATTACAAGAAGCCACAATTTTCTGATTTCACAAAGGAAATTCATCAGTGTTCAAAGTGATTTAAGGACATGAAAAGTTACTTAATGACTTTTTTCATTAAAACGACCGTATATTGTTTAAGTATTCCAACAATTTCATTATGATATAGATATCATTCGATATTAGTGATATCAATAAGGAGTATCAGAACTTGCCCAATACCGCAACAACTCTACTGACGACCAATTTGGTGCTTTTTCTATCCACAATGCAATTCATAAATTTATTAATTTTTTAAACAATGCTTTTTTTTATGATTTGACTGCAATAATGGATATCAGTTCTTCAATAGATATTTTATAATCTGATTTATTAGAAATGTCATAATAAAAAAGTTAAAAACGATTAAATTTTTTAAAACTAACCTCCCAAGCATCAACTCTTCTTTGCCAGAGTGCAACTTTTTCAAGACTTTCCATCCTCCTCTTTCTCTCATTTATAAGAAAAGCTACTCCCTTCATGCCTTCCACAGCTTCTTTCAGCTGAGCGTAATCTTCATGGTCAGTCTAACAAAATAGTAAAACAATTATTGAAATTTCAAAAAAAAAAAAAGAAAAGACTAATATACATAGCAATGTATTTCTTCTTGAAACAGTGATTTACTCCAAAGTATTACGTTATAAAACATTACAAAATAGTACCTTAGTGTACTTCAAAAGTTCTGCCAACTGCAGTGGATACTTGCAGATCCTTTGAACAGGAGTGAGTAAGTATCCAGAAAGAGGTAACTCCATGAGACCACGCATAAGCCTGCAAGCTTCCCAAAACCTAGCAACACCATTCCGACGGGAAACTTCTTCAAGGGTAGCAACAGCGGCTGCATGGCAGTTGCAATACTCTGAGTATAGCCGGAATCCTGGGAGCTAAAATGAAAATTACAAATTCAATACAAAATCTTTTTTTTACAAAAAATAGAAATTACCATTTCAACAGTTTCGTATTTGATAATTAAAACAATAGATTATTTCAAGATGATACTAACATGTTTTAAGAATACAGGTGCAATTTTGGACCGTGCTGTATTTATAGAATCTATACTGGCTTCTAAGTCTGCTAGGAATGAACGCTGGAACTCTAATATTTGAGACAGGTTAGAAAAAATACTCGTGACCTCCTCGTCGTTCAGGAGATCTGGCCTTTTCCTCGCTTCTACAAGGTAACCATCGTTGAGGTGTGTCAGCACACTGACAAAATCCCGTTCGGTCGCTATCAACTCGGTGATAACCCTTGTCCGGAATTCCGTCTCTGAGAGTCTCCTGCTTAGGGCTGTTTGTTCTTCTACAGTCTGGCCGACCTTCAACTGGAGAAAAAACAATAGTTAGCTCCAAGAACATAAAATAAAAAATCATCATAAATCTATATTTAAGATCCAAAATGTGAGTGTTTAATTACGAGTGCAGTGAAAAAGCAATACAGAGAATTCCTATGAATAAAACTAAGCAAGAGCATCTCCAGAATTTCGAACTTATGCATATTAGCAGTTCATTTTGTATTTACACAAAAACATGCTTATGTTCTCATGGATTATTTTAAACTGAATATGCATGCAACAGGAAAGAAGGAATGTCAATGTAAACAAGCCCTGACTCGATAGCTGTAAAGCTGGAGATGAATCAAATAGAATAAACAGTAATATACTGTATATAAGTAGAATATACTGTATGTACAGTAAAAGTCTATAAATGAATAGAATATAAAATAATAGTCTATGACAATTAATGTAACATCATCCCACAATAATGTATGTTTGTAGAAAATATTTTTCCAAAAAACCTGGGCGCAGTGAAAGAGTTTAATAGTTGATATTTAAAAACATGTATTTCACAATCAGAAATCTAAGTGTTTAAAAATAAAAATGAAAGGAAGGATACTAATATTTTGAGAATTTATAAATTTGGTAAGTTATCAATCTGTTATAAAACAGGCTGTGTTAAGCGAATGGCTAGGCATTAAAAATATGTTTTCAGCTGCACGCTTATACTTTCTTAATACTACTTGCATAAATAGTGGCTTAATTAACAGCTTAATAAAAGAAATTCAATAAGCACAAGCCTGTGTCTATAAAATAGAAGCTTTATTTAAAAAAAAAAAATAGTCATAACTTATAATTATCTTCCAAAAAAAAAAAGGAAAAAGGATGCTAAAATAGCAATCTTTAAAGCCTAACAAAGAAATTATAACCAGCTTGACATTATTTTATATATAATGATATTATAATTGACTTCACATTTTATAGACACCAGCGATACTGCAGTATATTAACATATAATATGCAATAATTTAAAAAAATTAAAATAAAAAATAGAAAAAAAAAAAAAAGAAGCTAGGGTTACCCTAACAAACAGCGAAGGAAACCAACCAGCCCGGCCTGCACTCTCTCCCCACCACCAGTCCCGATCTTGGTTGTCGATGACGGTTACCACATCTCCAGCTCTGAAACCGAGCTCTTCAGATTCCATGGCAACGTGGTCCCAAACAGCTTCTGCTAACACTCCCCCTCTCTTTTTGATAATCTGTTAAGAAATATTATAATTTAGAAAAATGATAAGAGGACTTGGGCTCATGCAAAAAAATAAATACAAATAAGAGAGAAAAATGAGCAATGCTATACCTGGTCAAAAGATTTCTTCTTATCAGTCAGAGATGCTACCGAAGACTCCGAGTCGGAGAGAGCTTCATCTTCAGATGTTCCTACACATCGTTCGTCTTCACTATTAGTACGGAATCCTATATAAAAAAGAAAAATTAAATATATAGTATTGATAGGTATTATTTATTTTAAATATTACTGTACTGAATAAGGTATCAATTAGAATTTTAACTCGGATATTAATAAAATGATACTTTAATAAAATGCAAAGTAAATAAATTTTTTAATAGTATATAAATAAATCAAGAATTTTTAAAATATAATTACCTTGAGCTTTTCTGACTAGAACTGGAGATAATTCGTTGAGACCAAGAGGTTGGCTGACAGACCTCCTCAGTTTCCCGTATTGCCCTTTGGCTCTAAAATAATTAAATAAACAAAAGAAATTTTATTTAATAATTGCTTGGACTAATTAAATTAATATTGAGATATAAAATTATTTGTAAATAATAATTACCCTCTAAAGACTGGCCTATTGGGTCTGGAACGAATGGGCGAGGGGTGAGAACACATTCTTCTATAGCCTCTGCGCACCTCCCATTGGTACAGTCTTTGGCCACCCAAATCGGAATGAGTTCTACGCACTCCTGGACTACGTCTTACCACTAATTCAGCCTGAGATAAAAACACGGTATATAGAAAATCAAGCAACAATCATTAAAAAATTTAAAATAAGAAAATGTTACAGAGCAAGACATAAATCATTACTTTAAACCATATTGCTACTTACTGTGTTATAATTCAAAATAAATAATCAAAAGCTACCACAGAAATTTACAGAAAAAATATTTACAGACTTCATCAATGGTATTTATATTTTTCCACTTTGTCATGTACTCGTGTAACAGCTAAATAGTTTTACTTTTAAATTTAAAACAAACAATTATTCTTTTAAATATTTTCAATATTATAAAAAAATTAGCAAATAATACCTTGAGTCTATCGACTAAAAACTGGTTAATGAAATCAGATGTTGGTCTTGAAGGCCTGCTGTCTGTTGAGCTTCCAGTACACCTTCTACGAACCTACAGAATATTAAACATTTATGTAAAGACAAATCAATAATTTGTGTACTTTAGACACCTTAGTTATGGATAGCACTAATTAAATAATCCAAAGATTTTTTTGATAGAGTGAACTTAAATAATTGGAAGTTAAATCTGGATATTATTATCATGCGCTGTAAAACTCCAATGAGAAACAACTCATTAATATAATTATACACAAAACTGTTTAATATTTTTTAAAAATGAGAAAACAATAATTTGGGGATGACAAATATCAGGTAAATGAAGTTTACAGATTTAATACCCAAAATAAAAATTAAAGGACAGTATTTGAGTTTTAATCATGTATTGTAATACAAAAAACAAATCATACCATTGGTAAAAGTATTTAAATAAACAGATAATTCAACAAAGTTAAAAAACAAAGTAGCCATTAAAACAAAATAGTTTAATCTGTCATTAAACTTTAACAAGATAAGTGAAATAGTTCTATCTGTCTTGTTTGAACACAAATAAAGTTTTCATTAAACTTTAATTTATTGAAAACCTGTAACAAAAATACATTTTGCCAAATAGGCAAAAAATGACTAAAAACCACCGAAGTAAATAAACAAGTCAAGTTTAGTATGCTCGATAAGTATACTGTTTCCATAATAACTTCTTTGGAAATCAAGTGAAAATAATATATTCAGATACTGGATCATAATATTAAGTTTTTTCGTAAATAATTTTTAAATGCAATAATAATTAGCTTTTCATATATACCTAAATATATTTTTAAATAAAATGTATAATTATGGATATTAGGAATAAAAAATATAAAAGGTTAACATAAAACAAAACGGCATCATCGATGTTAATAATGTATATCTCGAAATGAAAATCTTGTGACTTGAATAATATCTTTAAAAAATAAATTATAATATAATAAACTAAGTGTTTTAAAAGACATCAATCAAATTTAAAATGTTATTAGCTCCCAGAATCGTCTTCTTTTCATAAGGATAATTCTTTTAGGATTTAGGCCTGATGAATTGTTGATGAAATGAATAGATTGTTTATGAAATAAATTTGGAATTAAGAGCATTTATTTCGAATGTTAAAGCATTCGGAAACTAAGAGAAGTTCCTGGTTGTTTTGAATGAGGATTCCATGTAAGAAAACTTGTCCAGATAAGTCCTCATTCGAGGATCTGCTTTACAAGTATAAATGGATTATTGTAAACGGTACTGAAAGGTAAGATGTCGCTCCAGTTATAATGTTTATAGATAGATATTATAATAAGAGTATTATTAATTATAGATGCTTACAATTGGAGGGCTTTCGTCAGTGTCGGCGGGCTGATCTGTGGATTCACTGCTACCAGCCATCTCGATGTGAATGCCGCTGTCACCAGAATTACATTTCGTACTCCGTGCGGCCTTCTTCCTCCTCTCTTTGCTAGATCTCCAGACTAGTGGCCCGATCCTAAAGCAAATAATTATATGTTATATTCTATCTAATTAGGATTAGAATTTACAACTATTTATGAGTAACGCAGATTTCAAATCACCTGAACTTCTCGTGTTCCTCTTTCGGAGGCGTGCTTGGCGGAGAAATATCTCCATCCTTCTTGTTCAGCCTCAGGGAGAAACTCTTACGGAATTTTTGCAGGACGCTCTCTGCAAACATGAAATTATATTAGTCTCCAGAACACATACTATCAATATAAAAATCTATTAAAAATAATGTTTAAGCATTAGAAGAACTTTGTTAAGATTGTTTTGAAAATTACTCTTTCATATAAACATCGAAAATTATTTTTCTACCAATATAAACAAATCGACGGATTGTGTACTAATATCCCATAGTTTATAATAGTAAAATATAACAATCTAATTAGGGCAATCGTTTAATTCACAAATATTTACAAACAATAATTAAGTTAGTTCATAGTGAGGAGTATATAGTCAAGCATACAGGATATACTAGTACAATAAACAAAGGTGATCTCACCACATTAGACAACTCTATTACCTTGAGATGTCAGTGTGATTTATTTCAGAGGACGAAGTAGAATTTCATTTTGTGCTTACTTCTATGTTCAGTGAATACAAGCATTGTGAACTGACAATAAGATAACCGTGAAATGGAAGTATTAATTTAGATGTTAAGACAATTCACAATTGGAATTAGAAGTTAAAAAGAATTCATTAATTTTTCAGAGTAGATTTCAATTTCAGTAACGTTCCTGATGTTTCAGCGCATTCATGGCCCTTTGATAGAACTTAAAAATATATGACGAAATAAATAAATAAAAATATCTAAAATTGTATGTATGCAAACTTTTAATACAATTCGTATCTATATTCTCGTGATTTTACATTCAATGGTCTGTTTATTGTATATTTATTTACTTATTTTTTTAAAATAAGGATTTCTTTCTTATTGTTTATATCCGGCCTAATGAAGGTTGACGTAGCTCCAATGAAAGCATATGGGATATGCATGGGCTGAAAAGTATGGTAAGATTAAATAGTACGCATTTTAAGTTGATTTATTTTACTCCTTTTTCCCATTTCCTTCCCCACCATAAATAAATTAACAGAACTTCATTTTGTAGAAAAATATCTGATATTTCAATGTAAGAAAATTCAAATAGATACTATTTAATATAACTATACTAAGGAAGACATTGATTTATTACATCACACATAATAAATACATAATTTACTTGTAACAAAGACCACAACACACTTTCCTGTAAAAAAAACATAATTACAAAAGACCCAGACTAGAAAAAAAAAGAGATTACTGTATTAAAGCTCTTGACTAAACACGATAATGCTCTATAGAGTGACAAAAAAAAGTTAAGACTGATCCGGCTCAAGCCATTTTATGTCATGAGGGTTTGTTGAAGCTAAGTACTGTGTTCTGTAAGTCTAAAATATACACCACGATGTAACTCTATTGTATCTTATATAACCATGAAATATTTTTATTATTTGTTTAAGATAGAATATTTAAATATAATGGTTTAAATAACAAATTCATAGCATCAAAATATTTTTAATTATTTAAATCTATTATCATAATTGGTAAATGGTTGACAGTCGTGGATAATGAAGAGAAGAATAGTTGGGGTGGTCAGTCAAAAAAGAAGGCAAAAATAAATGATAATATTTATTTTTACATATGTCGACGTTTCGACCTGAAGTTCAGGCCATTATCAGGGCTAAGAAAAGAACCAGATAACAAGGTATGAGAAACATAAAAATTACAGTAAAATGAAATGTTAGAATAATGACAATAGTAAGAACAAGAGACAAATAATAATAACAGGTACAAAGTGTGTAACGATGAAGTAAACATAGTCAAAAACTTATTTTGTATTTATTAACTTATTTTGTATATTATTTTTCAATTTGTTTTAGTCACTTATTATAATAAAAAGTACATAATAATTTGTTGAAAACATAACATTTTGAGGGAGTTTCAACAAGTTTTCTTCCAGGTTTAATCTGATTAAGATTTGAATTGTTTCCAGAGAAAGAAGGTGAAATATATAAAAGCAAAAAAAAAATAAAACACTTTTTTTTTTTTGTTTAATATCTCAAAAGTGAATTAAATAAAAAACACAAACATATCCTATCTATCGGTATGGAATAAATAAAACTGCAAAGGATTATCGTATGGCACAATTATCATCATAAAATAATTTTCATATTCGAAGACAACGATATCCACATTAACGAGCAAGCGAAACAAAATGGCGTTAACAATGTAAAATCATTATTATTTGTTGTCAATTTAAGGATTTTGGCTATGCCAATTGGCTTCCTTTCCAGGATTTTTGATGCCTCGTATTTATTTATCTAAAATTGAAGATGCAAAATATTCTTTAAAACTTAGATATATAGTGTAAGTGGATTGAAAATGACACAAGACGAAGAAAGAAGGAAACAAACTGAAACTTTGACAACGTTTATAAGCAAGAGTAAGGATAAATGAGTACAGTCATTCCCAATTAAGAGTAAGGGCCAACGCCCCGAAGGTAGATTGAACGAAGAAAGATTCCCCTCTCACAGACAAAAGAGGTTGTACAATGGAGCTGGGAAGAATTGTCTTCACAACAACCGATTTGTCTGAGCTTGTATGGGATCGTTAGCTCTGCAAACCAGTTAAAAGTTTACTCTCAGCTAACTTAACAAGTTAGCAAACACGAGAACATCTAGGAAACAGTTACCGAACGATCAGGGACTCGTAGAACAATAAGTTTATTAATTAGGAGACAATTATTTTATTTATGAATAAATAAAACAGTTTTCGAGTTTACTTCTAAAAATACCAGCGTTATACGATGTTCATCAACGATTCCAATAATTATATTTAGTCTTGATGATGTCTGAATTAGCAAAATGTCGATTATTTAGTTGGTTTAGTTTAATAATGCAAACATTTGAGAGACATAAGCTTACTTTTATTGGAATTCTTCAATAAATTTTGCCCCTCCCCTTATTTCCTAGTTTACTGTCTTTAATTAATTTATTTCTTTGACGTGTTTTCATAGACTCCAGCCTTTATTTTTACAAGGTTTATTATTCTCGTATATTTTTTTTTTTTCGTATTCCAGAGCAGCTTCGTGAAATAAAAAAAATCGAAACGTCGGCACTCACTAAAACACATTTTTAAAACATAATTAATAAAATAATGAAATTTGGAATATTCTTTTTCTTTATGCCGTACGATCTATAAATCGGGTAGGTTGTTTGTGAATTTCGGTATTTATTCAGTTACATTTTAAAGAGAGTATTGGATATTCGTAATTTATTTTTACAGCCATGAAGAAAATCATAATCTTAGGTTGAAACGTTGGTACTCATTAAAACACACATTATCATTTTCCCCAAATGTTTAAAACACTAATAAACAAGGCTGAGATTTTGAATATTCTCCTGTTTACTGTACCACCTGTAAACTAGGTAATTATAATTATTATTATTATCCTGTATTTTTAAGAGAATAATACTTGATATTCGTAGCATAAAGTTAAGACATACTGAACAGTTACCAAGGTAATAAACAACAAAAGCTGAGAACCTATTGATTTTTTTTTTATGTTTTGTTCTGAAAAACTAATTTACATCTACAAGAAAATAAATTCCTCTCACAATAGGGAGCAGTTGATAAGTGAATAGAAATGCTTAGCGCTACAACCATTACATCTCACGGTATACCGTCCAAAAACAGAGAAGTTGTAATGGTTTTTTGGCAGTTTAACTGTGTAATAATGTATAATTAAAATGCTGTTGATTCTTCATGAAACCAGAGTTATGGATTAAAGCGTTCTTGGCGTTTCAAAATAATCGAATTAAATAATACTCACCAATTCAGCTGAATTCACAGGCAGTACATACGGCAAATTCGACTATTATAAGTTTTACTTGATGTAACCTTAATTTTATCGACATGTGATTTCATTAAATTTAAAAAATATATTATTTTTTGGTGAATTTAAGAAATACTAAAAATATCACGAACAATCTTCGGCGGTTTAGTTTTCAAGGGGAGGGGGGAAGGGGACTACTGTTTTTTACCTGGGACTATCAGCGACCCGATCTAACCTCGACAACATACCCCGAAATACCGGGAGCATACAGCACAGATGGCGGTCTTGTGAGATGGGTATCTTTGGGTACAGTTAGGGCTGTGTTTAGAAGAGATCCGACCGTATGTAGGTATAATAGATAAATCTGTGTAGAATTTATAAATAATATATTTGCATATCAGAATGCATATGTAATGGCAATTGAAGGTTGCTTTAAATATCCCAATAGATACACAAAATACAAAATATAACCATGTTAATTTTCGGAGATTGCGCGCGGTTTAATCTCCTAAAAATCTTGAGTTTTTTTTTTATTTAAGAAGGTTGGACACACTGAATAGAACAAGAGGAAACACGAAGAACAGTGATCCTCCACAACCGCTGCGGTCCGTCTAACAGAAGATGGACAGAATACTAAACAGTTCTATCCACATTTTTTGGGCAGACTTAACGAGAGACTACCGAACAGGGTACACTTATAATAACATTGTAACCGTGACTTGTTTTAGTAATTTCAGGCTCAAGCTCATTATTCATGGTGGTAGTTTAGTACCGTAAGTAAGAGTGTGTTGCGTACGACCGAATTCTGCAGAACGGAATACCGTCCCAGAAGGCGGATTCCAAAGGTCCACCAATCAGCAGAAGTGGGTGAACCTTTCACCGATTTGAGGGAATACCAGTCCACTGGGAAGACCTGGTTTATGCATATCTGCTTGGGAGGGGGGTAAGTGGAATAAGCATTGCTAAGTAAAATATATGTATGTATTCCTATATATAAAAATATCAATTATTTTATGAACAACAAATGTCGTCTTCTACGTAAGTCCATATTAGGTTAAGCAAAATGCAGATAATTCTTTTGTTCCAGACATTGGCAGACCCATAGGGTGGAAAGAGCTTTTGAGCTGAAGTCCTCCCAAAATCGAAAACTATTTTTCCAAAACATTGGTTCAAATTTGTTTCCGTGAGTAGTCTGAGGCACAGGCGGGTCTACGGGGGAGGTAGGACTTTTGGGCTGAAGTCTCCCTCCCAAAATGATAAAATGTAACCATGTTTTATGGTAAAAAATATAAAAGAATTATCTCTCAAAGTATTATTGTTCGTGTAATTACAATTAATAGGACTTCAAGAATCACCTAAACACTATTTCATGTAGGTAGTTAGTATCTTTTTTTTTTTTTTTCATGATCACTATCGTTATATATTCATAAAAGAGCTTTCGGGCTGAAGCCCCGAGTAATATCCCCGAATCCTGGATCCGCGAGTAAATAGTTAAACAATCAAAATATACACTCTTTTTAAATTATAACATATGTATTTCAGTTACTACATTTAAGCATGTGTCAAGAAAAATATATTGTAAAAATTTTATTACTCGTCCAGTGTTATCAACAACTCATAATTTGGACATGGAATCCTAGCTAATGCGCTGAGCAAATTTTGTTATAAATAAAGAATTACAAGTACATATACTGCATCATTTAAATAAAAAGAAAATATATATAATTTAAAATGAAACCAGTAAAGGCCAAGCAAATAAAAGATCATGATGATAGCAGATAATATTAAAAGATAATTTAAAGAAATTGCGATAGAAATCACAACGAATGTTAAAACTTCACTTAAAATTTCTATATTACTCGTTTCGATACTAGAATGTATTTAGAACCAAGGACTTCTTATCTTTAGTAATGCGCTAAAAAAAAAAAAAAATGTTAGCTGTTAACAATAGTTTAAAAAATGAGTTCTCAACATGGAATATTTTTGTTCTTTAAATAGAAGCAAATATAGTCAGTTGTTTCAAGAAACACTTAAAAAATAACATATTAGAGATTAAAAATGATGTATGTATGTTGAAAAACTACTTTGAGTGGTCCTTTTCCTGATATTTTTCCCAAGGGCTGTATTGTGAAAGAAATGAGTTGAGAACTAGTAGGGAAAAAAATAAAAATCTGCAAGAAAACGGTTACATTTAAAAGGATCGCCGCTCCACAGATTGATTGATGTTGACTTAGAATCATTTCCAAAGGTATATCTTGCGTAACCAATAATTATGAGCGGCAGAGATAATATATTTATGATTCATACCGTTTAAGATGTCAAGTAAGTTAAAAGGCGAAACCAGAGTGAAAGCAGAAATGCTGAACTCATGCATGGAAGTTACAAATTTTTAAATTTCTAAAAGAAAAAATAATCAGACATGTCCATATCCACAATACCAGTTTCATCTTGTAGCATAAATGTACCTTACTAGCAACTAAACAGGAGATTGTTCAGAACATTGAGAAAGTAGCTAGACCATCTAGAACTGTGAAATCGTTTAGCTGTCCGGTACTTTCGTCGGATTATAGACAGTGTAGTTGGTAGTTCTTCAGTTTCTATTACTCCGACAGCGTCTTCAGGGCTAATTCTTCACCCAGGGTCGTGGAGTCTTGCTTAAGCAAAAATTACTATCTTGTGTTTATGGTCCGAGAGTAGTAATTTAAGAAGAAAAAAAAGGTTAGTGGAACATAAGAGAAAGGAACAAAAGTTTACGGTTTCATCTATTTAAAATATTCTATTATTGGTTTCAAAGAACGTAGCCTTATTACAAAAAATATTAGGAATAATATTGAAAATCTTTGCCAAGGAATGATTCAACCATCATCTATAAATGGGAATTAAGCACCTAATGGCCATAAAATTCTGACTTTAATGTTTATTACCTGAGTAATAAAATACTCAAGGCAGTAACCTGGTGAATCATCGCTCAACTACTTCAACTATTGAGGCCATGAATCTTTCACGCTCTCTGCCGGACCCCTTTGATCCTACTTGCACTAGATCATACATAAATAACTCAAAAATATTAAGATCAAGTTATTTAGACTCCCAGAACCGATAAATAAATTCAAATATATATAAAATTGAAAGCGGCTTCAAATAACTTTTATCTCAACGCTGAAAAGAACAAGAGGCAATTTATTTTTATGGATTAAAAAATCACATTTTATGTTCTCGGATGATTTGGAAAAAAAATAAATAAAAAGAATGTTTAAGAATAGTTATGAAATTTTATAACATTTATCACAAATCATATCAAGGTGGAAAAGAAAGTGTTCCAGAGATCAGATGTCACAAAGGAAAGAAGAAATTGCTATTCGCCATAACCTGAGATATTATTTCATGTTATTCTCGTATTCCCTCTGGCGTCCACATCATGGCTTTATACACTGCTCGGGTGAAGATAACATTCTAATATTTCAGAGTTAATGCATTTTTTAAAAAAAATTAAAAAAAGTATACGTATACTTTATTTTAAAGAGATTTTCTTAGATATAACCACAATCATATCTAATTTCTGATAAAAATAACCAAATTGATAAACAAAGAAATGAAACAGCATATACATATTTTTAATATTAAAACATACACCAAGAGTATTATTACTGATGGAAGATATATAAATATTTATGCTTTAAATGTAAACATTTCCATTTTTTAATACTCTTCAATAAATAAAGAAGAAACATTACCACGTAGAAGAAACTTGGATCAGAATAATAATATAAATCAAAATATATAATATAAAAAATTAAATAATAATAACAAAAATGAATAAATTACCTGAGATCTGATTGGAACAGTCAACGTTTTCTTCGTGAAATTCTTCTCCGGTCCCTTCCTCTGATCTCCAATCTCTGTAAATCAAAAGAAAAAATAAATAAATACTCAAATGAGGCGCTGATAGATAAATTAATTTCAAATATTTTATGGTTTAAATATTATAAATACAGTTCCCACGCGATATAGAAAATTGAATGCGTTCTGAATGTAATATACACTAAAGAATGTTTACATTAAGTAATAAAATATGGAGTGTCTATATAATTTATGGCTTGAATTACCGAGAAATAAAAGCAACATATCTGATTTTTTTAAAATTTATTATTATAAGAGTATAAATATTTACTATAATATACTTGAAAACATTGATATTTCTATCGTCATTCCACTTTCTGATTAATCCATTTTCTTTGTTTAGCCCTTTAAACAAGGCAAGTGGTCAAATGAAAGTAAATATTTATAACTATAATAGCAGCTGTTGGAAAAATTACAAGCTGACAAATTTAAAATTTATCGGTTGTTGGTGGAAGTACAACAGTATATGTAGATATATGATTCTGGCCAATTGAAAAGAGTTCTTGGGGGCACATGGTAAAATTTCTCTCTGGGCGCCTACAACTGAGCGGGTTTTGAAAACTAAGTACATGAAAATGAAGATATATGAAGCTTCTATGAGCCTATCATATCCAGTCTCTGTTAAACATATGTTTAATCACATACTGTTTATTTATTTTTTCTTTCCTGGTAGAATTTAAAAAATAATTATTTATTTATTACAACGTATCTATACGTACGTCTATCTATCTATACAACGTACGTCAAATCATTTATTTACTCTAGTTATTTTCTTTTATTCTTATTTTTATTTATTTATTTATTTTTTATTGTATTGTAGCACTAAAATTGGTTACCTATAAAACTTATTTAGCATTTCTTTCCAATTTTATTTAGTTATAAGTATGTTGTTGTTTTTTGTACCAATGTTATAATATTTTAACCGTTGTACCCATCCGCTTTCCTTAATATACCCTCCAAATCTATGAATATCCTCATTTTATTACTTAGATTGTAGTTACCCTTTATTATAAGTGGTCATCTGGCCAGATTTATTGTCAATTGGTTAAAACAATATTGCTATTCTCAAGAGACCTAGTCCCAGAATAAAGATGATTTTTTATTTCTATTTCTATTATCTAAAACTATTTATAAGATTTATAAAGATATAAAATTATTATAATTATAATTTGATTTATATAAATCCAATTCCTTGATTAGCGATGCTAATGATTGATTGATTGGTTTTAATACAATTGAGTTGTTTATTCCCATTTAAAACCACCCAATGAATCCGATTTTTTAAATGAATCATAAATATTAAAAGAAGTGGTGTGTTATATTATTAATATTAATTTCATTTCCGAAACTGACTTTTTTTTTTCGGTGATGTAATGAAGCTTTCATCTCTTAAGTATTCTTTAAAGAAAAAATCATCAAAAGCTTTCTAACGGTTTTATTCAAATGAAAATTAAAAATAAATTAATTTTCTGTGTAATCAGCATTAAGTTTATCCTTTGTCGATTACAACTTTCTTAACAAATGTGGCATCTATTTTTTTTTTATAGTTGTATAATTCTACATATCGGAACTATCGAAACGACAACTCGAGACTTGAATGCTTATCAGGAGGGCAACTTAATTAAGCTTTACGTTCATTCTCAGCCGAGTTGATAGGATCGTTTGTCGGCATGAAGCAGAGTTGACTTATCTTGAGAAGATGAATCGAAAGCGTTTTGTATTTGTCAAGGTTCAGCTGTGAACAGGCTCGGGAGATAATGACGACTAAGAGAGGTAGCAACTCCATTCCATCTGCTCCCAAGATTGATGAGATGGAATCCTTTTAAGAAATAATAAAAGCCCAAAATGAACAAACGAAACAATAGAAGAAAAAAAAGGAAGTAACTAAAGCATAAATCATAAAACGTTTAGGCATTGTTGTACGATGTCGATATACAACGCCTCAAAGAAAATTTAAAAAATATTTTAAAAAACAACCACACATTCCTGAAAACAAGAGTTTATTACCAATATGTGCTAAAAAAATATATGATTTCAATCAGTATAATAAACATTAAAATAAATAAGATTTCTGTAATTAATTAATTACCGCTGTCGACTGGTAATAAACACTATAACAGAGATAATAAAAAAAGTTACATAACCATTATGATTATTATTTAATAATTAAACTTTTGACCAAAGATTACCAAAATTTTATCATTGCCAACGTTTCCGCTCCTGGAACCATTTTCAGGTACAAACTGTAAAATAAATTTATGTAAGCACAATATTAAAATATTTAAATTCTGTGATTAACGTATTTTAATATTGTATCGACATAAATGTATTTTAAAGTTTAATCATAAAAACGGCTCTAAGAGCCGAAAGTTCGCCAATAGTAAGGAGAAATTAAATAAAAAAGAATATAATAAAATATTTTTATTTGTTATTGTATAAAAGAATAATTGTATTTTTTTTAATAATAAAACTATATTTATTCTATTTATATATTATTTAGAATAATACAAAAGAATAGAAATGTGTGCTAAGGAGCCCCAGAGATACATAAACAATAATCATCAAGTCCATAAAGTCATAATTCAAAAGTATCAGTTAATTTCTAACTTCAATTAATTCAATCAATCAATGAAAAAATAAATAAGAGAAAAGTATAAAACGTAAATAAAAATAATTAAGAATGGTCTAAAAATGTATATAAATATTTATATTTGTTGTGTTGCTATTTTAGTTTCTTTTTTATTTATTTTAGGTTTGTTTAGTTTCTTTGTATTTATTGTATATAGAGTGTGAATGAGTTAATTTATCATTACGCTAACGTCCTCGAGCATGACAGATTGTAATATTTCTCAATAAAGAATTAAAAAAAAATAAAATAAAAACATATTTATTTGTGTTTTCGCAGAATGCAACTCATAACCAACTTTCCAACCATATTGTCTACAGTTAACCATAAATGGAATGTTCGCGACCTTTGGCCTTTTGCAAAAAATCTATTTAAATAATTAATAATAATATGGCACGGAAGATAAATAATATTAGACTTGAAAATTATAATTGTTATTGGCCATCGAATCAGCTAACTCCGAAACCTTATTTATATTTTATAAGTTTTCACGATTATGAGAAAAAAATATGAAATTTTATTGTTAATGTTATTTAATTCTAAAAGAATAAAACATTTTTGACGAAAAATACCTCCAAGTCTCCAGAAAATATCTCTAAAAATAAATATAGTCCTACACCTCCTAATTTTATAAAATAATATTAAATTGATCAATTTAATAAAAGGGTATGTAAGATAATAGTCAGTTTAATATCAAACTTGCATACCTGTGCTATAACTCTCGTATTCGATTTAAGTCCTTTCCCCATGTCAAAAATATTTAAAACAAAATTTTTAAAATTTCAGTCCGTTGAGTTATCAACGTCAGTTTTTTTTTATACCTCCCGATTTTTTCAATGATTCTTATTAAAGTTATGAATTTAGGTATCGATATTTGAATTCGTCAATTCTTCAATAAATTATCTTTCTTCAGAAAATTCGTTTGTTACAAACTTGCTGACAGACGGGACAGTGATCTACATTCTTCAGTATTATTCCAGTAACCGTCAAAAACGGCTCTGGAGCTACTGGATGCAGCGAACCGAAGAACAATGGTTCCACAACAGGGAATTCAGACACTCAAGAATGGAGGGTATCCGGAGGGGAGGGGGGAGAAGGGTTGGGGTAACTTAATATAGTCACTATTATGACGTCAAATGTACACCACTTATATACAATGTACGATAATTAATTGTGAATAGGATTAAAAGAAAAACCTTTCGATTGAGTAAGTGTGCTTTTGAGACTAAAATCTGGCACTTGGAGTGCAATGGTAAATACTGATTACAAATTAATAAATAATGTAGCAGTATAATCTCTATAAATATAGCATTGTATCAAACTTACTATAACCAAGAATTTAAAATTAAATTCATGAATTAAAGATGAAAAATTAATATTCCAATCTTTTGATAAATGCCTGCATTTTACTGGAGTGAATTTGAGAAAACAGTAAAAGTTTTACACTTTTTATTTCAATACTTGGGGATATAAAATTCTTACTTTTATAATAGGCCTAATAAAACACAATTAGAACTTCATACACGTAATAATAATTTATAAATTTAATAGCATAATTAGCGCCCTAACTCAGCCTCAGCTGGCTTTTAATACCAGTGGAGTGGTTATGGGAGAAGCGAACGGATCTCCTGAAGCCTCGCTTTTCCCTCCACAAGTGGGGGGACAAGTCTGGTTCGGAGTTCCCATGACCGATTGTAAATAGGTATTCCTGCGTCAAGGATGTTTATTTTAATTTTATTATTACAATTATTTATATTTTCTTCCTTCATTATGAAAGTTTATTTTGTTCTTATTTCGCTATATATTATTATGAAATTACTATTTTTTTTTTTTTGAATTTGTAAATATTGTGTGAATATGCTCTCTGAACTCTATTATAAATGTCCTTTATTGAGACAGATTGCAATATTTATCAATAAACAAGTAATCCAGTTACCAAAAAAATAGCATAATTAAAGTGGTAACAGTTATTCATGGCAACAAGCAATAAAAATGTCAATAGTTTATTTTTCTGTACCGCTAATATAAATATAAATTTGGCTCAGAATAAAAAAAAAAATAAACCAATTATTTATCTTACATTAAACATATATGAACAAGATAATATATATGTATATATATTTTTAATTTCTTTATACTAAAGCGCTCTCGTTCCATCTCCATTGGCTTTAGCTGCATTGACGCAGTTGAGAGCAGCGCAGGGATCTCTTGGAGTCCTGCTTTTCTCTCTATAGTGGGAGCCACAAGCTAGGCATGACAAGTTGTAAGTATTTTATATAGGTATGACAATTTTTTTTTTAAATTTAATTATCTTTTAAGTTATTTTATTCTTATTTATTATATATATTTTATTTTAGTGTTCAATTTATTTTTATTTATTGTACATATAGTGTGAATGTGATCGCTGGACACTATTATAAATGTTTTCTGAGACAGATTGTAATATTTCTCAATAAACGAGCTCTAAAAAAAAAAAGTCTACGTAGAGGATATCGTAAACTGTAAACAATTTGAAACATCGTGTTATTTTTAACGATTATTTTCAACATAAGTTGCTTTAATGCCACATGTTTTAAATAAAAATTCAGACAACAAAAATTTCTTTATATATAATTATAATATATATTTTTTAAAAATAGTTGATCTAGTTTTAAATAGTTAAATTTTAATTGATTAATTAAAATAATACATTCGTGTGCTAGATAAAAGTCCCATATCCAGATCTGATCTAGGCACCACTCTAAGTTTATAATAAGTTAGCATTATGAAGAGGGGCAGACTAAACAAACCAGAAGTGACAAGCTGTCGGATAATACGAGTGTCCCAGCTGAAACAACATTTCTGTCTGGTGTCAGCTAAAGGGATATTATGTTGTCAACATTTATGTAGAAAGTTTTTAAATTTATATTTGAATATGGGTGGTATTAAGTGAAGATGTTGATTAATATATATCTACATATACTATTATTTTGGAGAAATAATTATACTAAAGAACATTCAGTATAGCAGATAATACTTTTTCAATGGAATGCTCACGTCCCAAAAACGAAAATCCAAAGGTAAGAAATTGATGAAACAACAATTTTAATTATTTATTCATCCGCCGAATAAAAAAATGTAACAAAAATAAAATTGTTTTAAGTATATTTAAGTTCCAGAAACCAGTTTATTATTTTTTAAAATTCAATTTCAAAAAAAAAAAAATGAAAAAAAGAATCATATAATATCAGCGGTACTAAAAAAAAAAAGTATACATATCATTAGTATAGAAAATGTTTTCACAAAAATAAAATGTTTCTTTACACATTAAAAGCATTTAATGATATCTGAATCCCAATTTCATTCTAGTATTATATTTCAATTATTTATTACAATTAATTACAAATTATTTCCTTATATTCAATCAAAATATGCATTTTTACATATATGTTCAATTCTTATCTATTTTTCATTAATTTATTCAAACAACTGAATTAATATTGCTATGAATAATTTTTCACATAAAAAATGTATTACAAAATAACTAATAAAAATTAAAGACATTTATATGAGCAAGATTCTGAAAGTGCAAAAGTAAACGTATATGTGTGTGTGTGTGTGTGTGTAAGCAAAAGAAGTTTATAAATTTTTAAAACATACATAAAGACGTAGTGAAAATCATTGCTATAAACTTGTTTAGTCAAATATAACAAAAATACCTGACTTAATTTTCATAAGGTACATACGCAACCAATCCATCGAAAATAACATAATGGAAGACTATCAGTAAAATATTATTATTAATGCGTGAGAAAAATAATAAAAAGTGTAACATGTTTAAAAGGACAACAACGTTTTTTAACCGAGTAGTTCAAGAGAACATTGTGAACTTATCGGCTGAAACATTGAACGCGATAACAGCACTCTCACATCCCGGTATAGTGACCTCGTGGAAAAAAAAATAATGAAAAAAACTACCAGTCTATTTATAAATATTTATAATTAATAATGAATAAAAAACGTTTCTAATTTTTATTTGAATATAATTCCGAATTAATTAAATTAAAAGATGTATAGAATTTATCAACAAAAAAAAACTCCTTACATCATCTTAATTTTTATTTTTAAATAATGATTGTATGTTTTTTATATAATGTATAGTAATAATAATATAACTCACCCTTGAACTGTAGGCCAGTCGCTAGGTGCTGGATCGAGGAGTGGAGTGCTGGAGTATCTCGCCTGTTCTCCATCCTTATCCGATAGCTCCCGGACAGGCTGTGGGCAGAGGAAGATATCACTACGTTATCAAAGCTACTATATACATATGTATATACAACATATATGTAAACATATATGTAAACATATATAAGTGAACAATATATATTTTTAAATATTTAAAAAAAAATAGCAACTATAAGTCAAATTTTCAAATCGTCAGGACCAAACCTGGAGCATTTATCATTTTTTAAAAAACATTTTTATAATAAACATTTAAATTATAATATAGTAAGATAAGTAATTTGAATTAAATATAATAAAATATTTTTTTAATTGAAATATTTTAAAGTGAAAAAAAAAAAAAATTAAATGTATACTAAACAATCATGAAACAATTTATATAAAATATACAATAATTTCGAAAAAAATGCTATATTATAAAACGTCGTCATGTAAAATTACGATACCTTATGTATTGTAATGAGATTTTTTTTGGATAATAATGGGATCAAAAAAACAAAAAGCTCGAGAATGATGGAACTTAACTTTAGGAACCTTTTTTGGGGTCGGTTTATGTCGTAAGATAAAAAAAAAAAAATAATAATAAAAAGGCACACCCACAATGATCCAATGGGTTATGTATATAGAAAAGTACTAATGTCATCTTGGACACATAATTTTAATTCAAGATAAAAATATCAGAAGAATTCTACACTTTCTAATTTTTAGAAGATTCTGGATATAAGACGATATCTCATTTCAAGAATCTTCTTGAAGGTCTATATCGCTGTCCCAGTTCAAGCGTGTAACCTCGAAATTTTTTTTTGACATATACATATATTCTTAGTAATAGACCCACGATCAATGTCGTTGAATACTGTGATATCAATGCAAAAAAAAAATATATTCATAGTTGAAATTTTTAATAAAAAACTTAACGTAACAGCTCACAAACGATTTTATAAAAAATATGGGTTAATGGTAAGTTTTAATCCTGTGATGGCTGAAGTTAGCAGGAGTTATTTTAAGGGATCTCAGAGGATTTAATAAATACAATAATTCTTTTCAAAAATAATGCCTAATTTAAATTTCTAGTCTGGATTGATCGTTAAAATTCACATACTGTTATTGTGTATTATATATATTATTGTATGTTCTTATATTCTCATATTATATTATTGTCTAAATATGTATATTATTTTATAGTTTGTATAGCTTATTACAAATTTCATTTGCCGACCTCGTCATGTATTCACATCATTTTACATCAGTTTATTATTTTGTTATTATTACCCATCGATCACTATTTATCATCATTAGCAATTATCTGTTCTGTAATATTATATCTCTAATATAATTTCTTTTAGCCCTGGTGATGACCCTTAAGTTGACATTGAGGCAATACAAATCTAAAAAAATGACTGCGTCCTGAATATCACCCATGATATGTAAAAAATACGAATAACTTTTTTTAATAATTCATATAATATTATACTTAAAAATATTTATATATATTTTTATCGCATAAATGCTTACTAATATTTTAGCTATATTTTATTAAATATACAATTTTACATTTTACATATTGAGTATTTCATTATCTTACGTATAAATAAGAAATTTGATGTCTATAAATTTTTAAAATACATGACTTGAGGCTAGAGTTTCACTCGACACAGAACCTGAGATTAAATAATAAAATTGCTTTAAATTTAAATTCCTTTTTTATCTTTGAAAACCGGCAAGAAAAAGCACTCAAGCACAATTTATAATCTCATCCTTTTTCCAACCCTTTCTTTAATTCATGTCCTTTGCCTTTCTTCTACCCATTTAAAAAACAAATTGTTTAATTAGTTTGTTGACTGTAGTACTCCTTTATCCTTCATCCCTGTTTCGTTATTTAAAAGAATTCACTCTCACTCTTAATGTAATCTACAGTTGTAAATTGAGGAATTAATTACCTGAATATCACACGTATTGAACATTAAGATTTAATTTAAATAAATTTACCGTAAGATTTATCGTTTTAATTAATTAATATTAGTTTATTAATTTGTAAAGGGGGAAAAAAACTGATGATTCAGCATGCACTAATTTAACCTGCCCGATATGTGTGCCAGTATGTCAGTTGCGTCATAGCACAGAGGTTTCTTAAACCCGACTTGATCAAACATCTGTTCAACCGGGCATTCTTATTAACATAAATCTGCAAGTTTATTTGGGATGCAAATAAATTGAAACATTACACACATTATTCAATGAAATAATTATCATAGAATTAAGTACATGATTACATAAAAAAAAAGAAAAAGACTTTATCAAATGTCATGTATAAATATCCTAAATTAGTCTATCTGTAGTTACTTTGGGTACTCACTAAAACAAACACAAAATAAAATGAGTATTTTAAAATAATTTTGAAGGTTAATAATATTTTAAGTATGAGTAGTATTCGAAAAGTTTTAGCACAAATGATATATCACCCCATAATATAAATGAAAAATTATTTAAAATACTTATACATACTTAAGTCCTCCAAAAGGTACAAAAAAAAATTAACACTAAAGACAAATAGGGGTAAACTATTTAAGCTCATCCGATCCGTGTCCAAACTGGGGAAAACTATGCCATCGATGAGTCCACCGCTGAGTTTAAGAACTTGTCCATATACTTGTCATCTACATCAACACTGCCCACATGAGTCTAAAAATCTTTGTTTTGTTCCGGGTTGTTCACAACAGATAGAGGGAACTAATTCTCTAGAACTTTCTAAATTCCTTACACAACACTACAGTTCTTAAATTCTTCTAGGAATCAATTATACAAAATATAACTTAAACATCACTTTTGGAGTATATGATAATGTATTAAAAATTAAAATTCCAAACATTAAAAATATAATAAAATTTATTTTTGTTATATCAGCCGTGGGTGGATTAAGTATTTGGAAAAGCTATCCGAAGTAAAAGTGGGGAACTGCCCCTTCATTGGGTTAGGGGAAAACTTGACAGTAAGGCGGGGTGCAAATTTGTTCACTTCTTGATACTTAAGTTGGCCAAGAATCAATAAGGAATATCACATATATACAAAAAATATTATACATTACTAAAAACAAATCTTCATACCAACTTATATTTTTTAAAGTCCTGCATATCATTATATTAAATTTAAAAAATAACGTAACGTTACTTTACTAAGTAGCTACACAACTTGAATTACTTTTAAACACTTGTTGAAATGCATCTATGAAACACAAATTTTATAAAAGAATAAGGTACTAAGTCGAATATCCAAGAAATAATTTTTAGTGCAGATATATTTTTAAAAGACCATTGTTATTATTCGTGTTAAAAATGCTAATTTAAAACACACATGATTAAACCACCTTCATTTTAATTTTCGACACCATAATTGATAAGAACGAACACATACATTAACGAAACTTTCAATCTAACGTATAACATTTCGGTGAAATTATGATTACGCAATTTCGAAACTTTCCCTAATTCGACTTAACCACAGCCGATATTTGAAATTTTACTTTCTTTCCTTTTTTGGAACTGATCGGATATAATTGATATTTGTTTTCTAGAAAACGATAGGTATACTAATTACATTAACAGAGCTCGTGGCAAAACGCAAAATATTAAATAATTTAGCTTAAACCGATTAACCGCCTAGTATACCTCTTTTAAAATAGTATCGATTTGATGAACTCAATAAAACGTAAGATAAATTGTAATGTGCAAACCCGAAGATTTCCCTTTCAATTTAAAATATGGCATTCTTTAAAATGAAATGATAGTGCAAGCAGGGGTGCCCACAATGGGGTTTCAAGGCACAAGTTGCGCCATCAAAATTTTGGAGAGGGGCACATTTTGACGGGGTTATGAATTTTCAGATTGAAAAGTTTCAAATTAGGAGACAAGAGAAAAGTGTAGTACAGACCACTGAAACTGTAATTGCATATGACCTATGATTTTTAAAATCTTACTTTAGTTTGCACTGTTTTTAAGAAGAGAAGGAAAATAAAATATCTTAGGAAGAGGAGGGAGGAAGGAGTTTATGTGCCATCGATCCTGGAGGAGCGGGATGGGCACCCTTGAGTACAAGCATGGATTTCTTGTAATAAAATGAGGCGAAAATATACATTAAACAACTTCGTTTTTATATGCTTTTAAGCAAATAACTTGATAGCTTTTTTGGTAAATAACTATCAGAAAAAGATTACTCAAGTAACTGGAAATAATTTTGAAATATTTTACATTCCCTTCGTGCTGACTTTATATGTAAGTGGTCGGTAAACAGCAAAATACTTGATAAATAGGTCTTAAATAAGAAAACTAGTACGCGCAATCAAGTGAAAAACATCCAGAGTATTAAAATACTCCAATTTCATCTCCTCATAACTTCCTTACAATGCATCCTATGGCTTAGGAAAAAAAAATAGATCAAGATTAATATTATGTACAATCACGATCCAAGCTTAATAGTACCAAGCTAATAGCTCAGTATACTTGACTAGTCACTCGATCGATTAGGCACTACAACCGAGAGAAACACAAACGCTTGAGGTCCTTTGTGAACTCAAAACCCAACGGACGAAAGCTTTCTTGTTCCTCTTTTCATTCGCTTTCAGAATCCTCTTCGGAGACAGGACGCCTGAGGAACATCACGCGAGGTTCGCCGAAGACGACCCGGGGAGAATGACCGCGGGTTCCTTTGTAATTAACGACTATTCTTGAAGAGGACGAAGCACCTCATAATGAGCCCTTGTCTCCTTCAGGCCTTGAACCCCCACTGTCCGTGAACATGCCCTTATTAATCATTGGACAATCCCTTATCAGTTTAAGTACGTGGATTATCCTTAACGGCTATGTAATTATCCATTCAAAAGGAACTAAGGGTGTTGAATAGGTTGAAACGTAAGATGGAGGAATTGCGGAGAACTTAACTATTTCTTAAAAAGTTATTTAACTGCCTACATTTAAATCGGTTAATCTCTTGGCAATAGAAGGAACCTTCAAACGAACATTAAATATTTACGTACTTTCATACCATTTTGATGCAATGGTGGAAACCACTGGCGGATCTAGGTGGGAAGAGAAGCTTTCAACTCAAATGTCATTTCATATAGGTATTTTTTTACTTTTTCTTCTAGAGTAATTACTTTATAGAGTAAATAAATACATCCTGGTCCAGCTACCGATTGGGTATGTTCGTACATAAAGGAAGTGACTCTGGTAAAATAAATACAGCTCATATCCGTATGGTTAAATTTTTTTTTAAGTTATTGTTTACGTCAGAGGGTGGAAGACAAAAGAATAAGACTGCATCACTTACAGCCGACCTCTAAAATGCACATACCACGAAGGAGTCGCTGTGGGCCGATCAGACAACTCGCCAGGATATTGCTCAATAATTGCGCCAAGGATAACATTGCGCGCAGGCTGTGTAGGAGGCTACCGCAATAGGTGGGACAGGACAGCTCGGGTGTGAACAAACTCTCCTCGTGCCGACCTTGCTCGCTCACCTTTCGCGCCATTTTTCCGCCTCGTTCCCGCCGTTCTAACTGTTCCGGCGGGAATAGCGTTCATCTCTTCACAGTGTAATGGAGCCGCCGCGGGCGATGGGCTTCGGTCTTCGTGGAATGGGATATAGCCGCATAACGGGCGATAGATGGACCTTTCACCGATCTCGTGGCTGTTTTTGGAAGAGAAATCTACGTCAGTACACCATCATATACTAATGAGCTATTTTAGAGGTATGGCTGAATTAATGAAAACTAAAAGGTTTTTATAAAAAAAAAAAAAATAAATAAATAAAAAATATCCTTTGTACACGCCATGCCCGCCATTAAATAAAATAGAATACATATTCATATAAACAGTAAATTATCAAAATTGTTAGACTTTTATTATTAATATAATTGATAATTCACATATACTTCAACAGGAATGCTTGTATTTTATACAGTTAATAAAGTTCCTATCCACTTTTTCTAGTCACAAACAGAGAATATATTTCTTTTTCAAGAAAATAATCTTTATGTTTAAGATCCAGTAAGCCAATAAGAGAAAAATAAAATAAATCAACTCATCTTTCAAACATTTTGATAAAGGATGATTTAATGATAACGATTTTAATTGAAGTTTAATATTTGAATGCTATGTTTAATATATTTAACATAAATATTTTACTTTTTTAAAAATAAAAACGCTATAAATTATTGCATTTAATTTTATAATTCGCAAAGAGTTTCAAATAAAATTTACAAATTTTAGACAATTTAGACTAAATTTAATTTTCTTGTCAAATGTGATTCTAACAAATTTATTTTCGACTGATAGAGGCAAAAATACTTCGGCCTTAATTAATATATATTTTTTTCTTATTATAATAACGATATTAATTGAAAGTTAATTACTTGTTAACAAATATTTACACAGAGCCAAGGCACAAGAAAATTGTATTTACATGATTAGTTTTTAATGTATATTTATTTAATTGTATCATTTTCGTTTGTTTGTTTACTTGTATACACTCAATTATTTTAATTAGATTTTGAAATGACGAGACTATATTTATTTATAGATTTGATGAGGTTGGAAAATGTCGTATAGAAGATAAAATATTATTCTTTTTAGCTAACATATGATTTAATATGTAATATATAGTTTTAATATTGAGAACTTCTCTATTTTTTCTAAATACAGAAAAATGACCACCAAAAAAAATAAACTATGTATACAGTGAAAAATAAACAATATTTTAAAACAAAGCAAACTGGAGGAATCAATCAATTAAATGATCCAAAACAAAAAATATTGACACAAGACATGGCACAGTGTGATTGACACAAGGCATCAATGAAGTCCTCTTAGCCACTCAAAGGAAACAAGAATTCTATTCATCAGTCGATGTGTTTGTTCAAGACAGTCAAGATATTGAGCTTGCCACACTCAAACAAAAAGCTGTAATTGATCTCTGAATTTTCTTTAGCAATGTTTTACTAAAGGAAAATCGAGGAAACATGGTTCCTAGAATTAGATAATGGGGAATACCAGAGAGATATGCAATTATCCTTGTGCCACTCCTGAACTAATAGAGGTCTTCTGAAGGTGAGTATCTTATAGTTTCTTAAAAGCTTCACGGTATTCAACGTCATATGTTTACCATTTTGTATTAGTATTCGACCTGAATTAGAGGTAAGTAATAAGTATATATATATATACCAAAAGAAAAAGGCCAATAATCAGAGAAATTAGAAAACATACGACGGATTGACATTTGAAATCATTGACATTGAAATAAATCCCTAAATCCGGTTTTGGTAAACACATCTGTAAACGAAAAGTAAAATTAATTATGTAAAATCCCAGGGATTTCTCCGGCTTAACCTAGAGACCTGAATCCACGTCACATTATCATAAAGTACTCACATTATCATTGAGTGCCTAGGAAAGGAAGAGTTCAAGAAAGTTTTAATGTAAGCGAGTTGTACCCATCCATCAAACTATTTCAAACAATATTCGAGACACAAACGACCTGCTTCACAAGATAAAATCTGAGTTTATTAGCGCATAAAACTGATTTTTATCATCTATAAAACCTTATAGATGTTAATAATTTAGTTTCAGAACTTTTTATATGCTAATACATCTTTTATATCGACAGACAAGTCATATTTCAAAACCTAGTAAGTGCAAAAAATAATTTTTTTTTTTTTAATTTTATGAACTATTTTTTTCGTGCAATTTATACTACATCCTTAAAACAAATATACAATATTTTAAAATTACTTTTTTATTGTATTTTTGAATATACGCGAAACCAAAATTTACCAAAAAAGCTCAATATCTCGGTTTTAAATAAAATTTTACTTTCTATAAAAAAGTAATAGAAATAAATTATTAAAATCATTAATAGGTATGAATATATTATTACAAGCCTATTAAAACTCCTAAAAAATATAAACAATGTACAATGTAATAGTTGATCAAATTAGCCCCGAAACTTGATTATCCAATTTTAATGAATAGTAAAATAAATGGATAGTTATAGTTATTATAATCATGGAAAAGTTTAAAATAGTTATGTATTTATAGTTCCGATTAAAGTTTAACATAAAATAATTTGATTTTAATATTTGATCTAATAACTTTGCCTATTGATATTGTCACACTACATTTATAAACCCAAAACTAATTAAAACATAAAATAACCTTTTGAAGTATAAATATATCAACATAAGATGGATCAAAATCAAATTTAAATATAAAATCATTGTCAATTTGAACATTTGAATGGAATTTCATTAAACCATGCAGTGATGTTGATTATTTGTTTTCAGACAATTAATTTAACAAGAGCCTGGCATTTTTGAAGGAAAAAAAAGACTGTTGAAGTTCTTCCTTTTGGTTGCTTAATCCTTCACCTGTTTTGGAGTGTTTATTTATATTAAATAATTTCAACTTCAAAAGTATACATTACTTACGAAACAAATATACTGAGATATTTCTATAATTATAATTATGAATAAATTTCTTCTACATATTAAAGCCGTTGTCGTTTTGAAGAAGGCATTGAATTCCAAACCTTACCTTTTCAAATTATTCTGAAAACTTCCAAATAATTTTAACATGTGCGGGGGGTTTATTAATAACAAGAGTAAAAAAAAAATAAACGTCAGAAACAACGGAGACATGTTGAACGAGGAATGTGCAAAAAAGCTACATATCTAAGAAGCATGCATGCCAATGTTGCCATAAAACCAATCACAAACGGCATATATCGTTATTTTCATTATAATCTAAAAAGTTTAAAAACAAAAATGAAAGTAACAAATAAATAAACAAATTAAATTGGATGAAACTAAACTGAAACGAAATAAATAAAAACAAAATATTTCTGAAATAAACTTTAATCTTGAAAGTTACTCACCACAGTATCCAAAAGCAGCATCCCTAAAACATGCACTTTTTTTTTTAACATTAGACATGCGCTTTTCCCAACAAAGGGAAATCAGCTTGGTGAAAGAGAACAAAAACAAAAACAAAAAAAAGAATGAAAAAACTATACAGAGAAAGAAATTTTTTATTCTCAACAAATTTCTGTTCAAAAAATCCATATTGTTATTCGAACACTTGAATATAATGTTAAATTATTCACAAGACACACATTATAATTATAAAAAGCTCATTGGATGTCAGTGTGTTGAGTGTGAGGTGAGGGAAATAGAATAGGGCCGGGTACAACAGCGGTTACAAAATCCTCACGACCCAATTGAGAACAATCCAACATGCCATGTTAATTAATTGCATACCAATGAGGTAAATTGGGTACTACGATAAATTGCGGCATTAATTATTATAATTACCATAAAAACGTTCGTGAACGTTAAACAATTTACTAAAAGATATGTTTGATTGTCATTGTGATTAGTCTATAATTAAAACCATTTGCATTTAAACATTTGTTGAAAAAAATACAGCGAAACTGTTTCTGAATTCCCCTCAAAGTCGAATAGCTTTAGCATATTAAGCCAGAGATCAATTTTTAGAAATTTGTACTTGAACATGGTCGAGTTTGGAAAAAAAAAAAATTGGAATCAAAATGATATTAGCAGTTTAACAAAATGCAACATCAAATTGAAGTCACATCATATTGATTACGTTTTCTCAAATTTTCGACGCCATACTAAAATTACCTATAGAATATCATTACTAAATTTTTTAATAGCATTTAGATTCATTATATACATCTACTAACTAGCATTCGGAAACAATACAATACATATCAAAGCATATCATATACCCTACAAACCTACATTTCATACAAGTATCAAAGAGTTTTATAGTAAATACGTTTATTTTAAAAATGGAAGGATTATCGCATATATATATATATATTATTGAAACGGATATGTCATAAATATATTTTAATGCATTTTCTAGGTATTAGTAAATGGATGTTGATGAAGAAGAATTGTTATAATAAACCACTAACGAATATTTACGTAATCGTAGTTGAATATCGAATTCGATGCGCATTTAATATCGATGGAATAAAAATTGATAGAATCATACGATTTTTTTATTATTAATATTAGTCTAGAAAACTATAGCGAAGAGGCCTAATAAAATAATGGATTAATTCAACCACCTGATAACAAAAGGCCAGGCGAAAAAATGGTCTGGTTTGGAAGATGTATTTTTTTCTGGACTTCCTCTGGGAAAAATCAGAGCGGCGGTGAATCACCTAGCCGGAAATTAGGTTGTTAGTTACAGTTCCGATTTTCCACAGCCTTTTTATTAAACCGACCCTACCAGATATAAAAACGACGACTTTTCCCTAATATTAGGTTTGGCAGTCTCGAACACGGTGAAATTTGGCAACATTTGTACATTAAACTTACCTAATAACGATAAAGCATGTCAAAAACTTCACATAATTAGAAACGAACACTCAGAATTAAAGCTAAATTAACTGCTGCGTTATTTGAGGAACAAAAGCGATGGGACAACAATAATGGAGAAAAAAAAACTGAATAAATACCTTCCACACGTAGGAAAATCTGAAGATTGCCAGCATTTGCAGCCATGTGTCCGGCGTTGGCCACGCAATTGATATGAAAATGGAAAAAAGTATTTCTTAATTTTGAAAGGTATAACCGGTAGAACGAGTTGGCTAGCACAGGCGTCTTGAGCAATGGATCCTGATTGATTTAGTTCTTAACAAGTTGAAGCTTCTGCGAAAGAATGCGGCCTGAGATGAGAGGGCACGGTGACTCCGATTGGAATGAATCCTTGCGGCTTATCAACTTGTGCATTGTTTATCGCAAACAATCTGAACTATTTCTTTTTCAATGCATTTGAAACTTAATTTACCACGAGATTTGGTTTTGATTAAAGCTGTACTGTTCAAATTTAACACGAAACAATTATTCAATCCTACTCAATATTGTCAATTGATTGATATCTCCGAAAGATACAAGGCCCACGAAATTATCTTAACTTAAAGTCCTTTACGATTCATCATTCATCATTCCATAAAGATCAGCTTTTCGACTGAGTTGATAAAGCAGATCTCCTATCTTAGTGGTTCTCCTCCAAAATATCCTATCAGTTAAGCCACAGAGATGGTCTTTAGAATCGACAGAACATTAAAGTGAGCTGAATTTCAAAATACTCCCCTCCCCAAAAGAAAAAAAAAGAAAGAAAAATAAAACACAAAAAGTGGTTATATTTCAATTAAATGGAAGCTAAAACATAAAATTGATTCAATAATGAAAACATTAAAATATATTTATTTAACTCTATAAATTTTTGCTATTATTTAAAAATCCTACTAAAACCTCTAATATATTCTTCGAAAATCTACGTTATTTGTTGTATGAGAACTATACGCAATATTATATGTTTATTAAAATAAATTTGAAAACTGATAAAATTCAAGTAAATTATGATTATTAAACACTAAAGAAGAAAATGAAAACTATGAATTTAAAGAATATTCTTGACAAAGAATTAGGAATAGGCAAGTGTGAAAAAAAAAATAAATAAAAAATTGAAAGCTGATTATATTAATATGTTAAATCACGTCCAATTAACATTCAGGTTTTAAATGCATTACAACCGCATTGAGCATACAAATTATTTCTTGATTTTGTTTTGTCATTGATTTGACAAGATTAATTTATAATTCCCAGCAGAATCATCAGTTCTGCTATTTCTTTTTCTTATTACTACATTATTGTTTTTATAGTTATATAAAGACATTACGCTTGGTTTGGTAAACCGTTCGAAATTTCTATAATTTTTGAAAGACGATAGAATAATTTTCATAAATATTTTAATTTATATATAAATATCTGACTTATTCGTTAGCCTACTTTTACAAAAATTCTGTTAGAATCTTGAATAATTTCTTGTAACGATTTACTATATTATAATATTTCCAAAACTAAATTAACTCCATTAAATGCAAATGTCTTTTTCATAATATATATATATATATATCTTTTTAAATATAAAAATATCGAATACCCGGCCCTAAGGGATTAAAGTATAAATGTTTAAATAGAAAGCCAACAGCAAACCACTTAACTTCTAATTATTGTGCAGCCATTCAAGATAAATTCGTTTAGGTCACTATGTACACTGAAGATAAATGAAACACAATGATTACACATTCCATAAAAATATATCATGTTGAATCAAATATATATTATACATATAAATACTTGATACACAAATGGATGTAGGTATATGCATACGAGTCAACAAAACTATGTACAGATAAAGTGTCACTTCAACCATATACCAATATATTTATATATATAAGTATAATTGGGAATACCAAGAACTATGTTACTCTTTTAATTTTTTTTTTCAGATAAGATATTTTTTTTATACTACTATGAAAGAATACTTATAACATATATGTATATACATATATATATAATTTTTGTTCTAATGAATAAAACTACATAATTAAAAGATATATTTTGAGCTTTTTATACCTTCCTAACCAGTAATTCTCAACCATTTGATCACAATTTGAACTCCATTAAATATTCAATTTCCTTTGAACAATAACAATCATAATAAACATTTCAACAATCAGTATTAATACTATATTTATAACACCATTACAAAAAACCTTTCCTTAATAATCCAAAATGACTAATTTTTTTTATTACTTAATTGATGAGTTTTAAAAAATACTGTCCTTTAATAGACACACAGTTTAGAATTTGAATTTAATCAACCTCAATGAGGTAGTTAATCAATACAAAGACAATATAATTTAGGAACGTAAAGCTTAATTGAGCTTTAACAATAACCATAACAGCTGGGGGAAATTTAACAAGTGCAATTATTATTTAAATCTACATTTTGTGCGAATAGTTGGTCACGAAGGTTCAATTTCGAGGTGGATGGGAGACACAATATATGAAAATTACTAAATTCACTAATTATTTAGTTTCGTTTAATGAATTTGAAAAACATGTTCCTACAGAAAATTATGACCCGAGATCAATTTAAATACTTAAAATATAAATATATTTTTTGTTTTGATATAGTCTTTTTAATTTTTTTTTTGAAGTTTTTTTTTTCTTGGTGAAGATTTTAATAAATTATTAAAGTTTTTAAGTATTGAAGAGGGCAAAGGTGCAGAAGGGTGTATGTGTGATTCCGGTGGCAGACAGCAGACAGGAGTTTGTTGTTTGTTGTTTGATGTTGTTAGATGTAGTATACCCATCCTTGCTGGAGGCGGTCCTTCTTTGTCTGGCAAGGCATGTGGAACAATAAGAAAATTTTTATCAGATATTTCGCCAAACGGTCCGGCGAACGTCTTTAGGGCCAAGCAATCTTACTTAAGGCTAAATAATTTGTTGCCTGATTTGTTGTATCGGAGAAAATAAAATTAACTACAAGAGAGCGACGAGCTAATTTAACAGCTAAACTAAGTCAAAAGTCAGACCTTCGTTAACAACCTAAGGCTAAAACTATTGACAGCTTGTTTAACACAGTGATGTGTTGTACTAAAGTAGGTAGTTAGATATAGTTCACAAACCGATGGCAGTACGAGAACTCAAGCGGTATTTATTTAAAACTAAGATCTTTTGTTTACACTCCAGTTTTATTTACAAAATATAAATATATTTAAATATCATCTCTTAATACATTTATGTATATGTACATATTTCGAATATACTAATACAATTGAAAAAAAAAACGTAATACGCAAAAATATTAAGCTGCCATCTAGTTGTTCTGACAGATTAGATAGTTCTGTATAAAATTTATAATTAAAAATTCATAACGATTTTCAGGATATTTCTAGGTATGTGTAAGTCATGGATATGTCTATAAATATACCGGATGCAAATGAAGTGAGAAATGTAACGAACTTCTTTTACTACTGGAAATAATTAAATTCTGTTTCTAGTCCATAATTAGCACAAATTAAAATAAATCATAAACTTAAAACCACTTTTTATTTTTTCGTTAGCTGCGAATTGCAACTACATGTATTTTTGATTTTAATTACTTTGTAGAATTCGGGTAAAATTATATATATATATATATATATATATATATATATATATATATATATATATATATGTGTAGCTTAAGCTATTAAGGTAGATCTCTAATCCGTCCATCTTAAACCGATAACAAAAGAGATTGAAGAACTCCAGAGGATACAGATGGCCGCCTGGAAGGTAGGGCAGGATTGAGCCCAAGGCCAGCCGAGGCGCCACCTGCCTCCCCCGGCAGAAGATTGCTTGGCCCTGCTGTACATAATGTCATCGGCATACTACATGGGATCTACATAATGCATAATTGCACCACATGCAAGGATATGCAGCACGAATCACTACATCTTCCATTCATTGCTAAAAGATTCACAACATGCAGGCCATGTTCACAATGGAGAGCCTTCAAAGGCCCAGTTTCAGGCGTTCTTGGTAGTTTTATCGTGTGCGCAAAACTGTCGATTTAAGATCGCAAGGTAATCCACTTCTAATTGTACGGCATTAAACATTGGAAAAAAGATTAATCCGCTAATTCGGCTTTCAGGCAACAAACGACGAGCCGCGGCATGCAATCGAAACTACATTGGCGCATTACTGCAGCAGAAGGCGCTGCGAAACTAAAGTTTCAAATTTCAAATAAATATTATGCTCTAAGGATAAATCTTACAATTTGAGGAAGATCAGCATTTGAAATACCTTTAATACAGATTCTGCGATATTTTATACGCCACCATACATAAAAAAACATCATTTAATCATCAAAGGTAATCTACAGTGCTTGTTTTCAAATCTGCAATACGCAAGTGTCAGAGCTACTGATGTAAGGGGAGGGATCATCTCGACAGTAGCGAGAGGTGTGCTGGAAGGTTTCAACAGTAAGGGAGATAAGAGAGTATGAGGAATACACAGGCGTTTTTAAAAAATTGCCTTTAATACAGGAATCATTAATAAAATATTTTAACAGAAAAATATATATAATTCGGGGTCTACATAAAAGATCAACAAAATTTGTACTTTGTCGAATTAATTCTATAGATAACAAACAGAAAAGGTAAGGTATGAAGAACGATCACAAGTGAGAGAATTGATAAAATTCGACATAAGAAACTACTGATGATGGTGTGGATAAGAGATCGAAAAAAAAAGGATTATAATATAATAATAATAATAAAAAAAGAATAGTTTGTTTTCGCAAAAATTTAAGTATCAACAGATATAATGTTACGAGAGCAGCTATTTGTCTTTGGTTACAAGATTTAAATGGTTTTGGCACATCAAATTGATCTCACGATCACATAAACGTGAATTGAAAACAATATATTGATAAAGTCATATCGTGCATAAATATACCGCAAGGAAAATCTATATAGATGTAATGACTTATCAGGGAATGTTGAGATTATACGCAGGAGTTGAGATTTTTAAATTGTCTGTATTGTACGCATCATGAAAGCACTACAACGTAAATAACTACAGTATTATTATATTGCAAATCATCCCTTACAAGTAGATATTGATCATATTATAGCAGCACTTGAAGGGACTCGATATCCGGAGAGCGGCTCCTCAACAACCGCCACCTAGATAGCGACCCTAATCCCATCCGGCCCGGAGGACCCTCTCACTAACAAGAGAGGCTTTATTTAAAACTGGTCGTATCCGGGAGGGGCAGCTGTTCCCGACTGATCAGTCTTTTGTTAGGTCCAGACCGGCCGAAGGGTCTGCTATTGTGATCTCAGTTAGGGTGATAAAATGGAAACATAAAATGTTAAATTTGGTTCGAGTGGATGGTAGCTTCCATATTACACCGCCTAAATCACGCGTAATGAGAAAATGGGTAATCCATCCATCACTTGCTGCTCTCGCGACATGGAGGAAAACTGGGAACCTTACCGTTGGCGGGGCTGTCCTCGAGGTTTCGGGGGTAGGAGGTCTCAGCATCGGTCCGGGGCTCGTTCGTCTTGACCATGGTGTGTTCCTGAAACAGGAATTGAGAATATAAATGATTTGGAGAAGATGACAAAAAATATTAATAAGAATTATATATCGTTCTTTGAAAAATTATGAACAATCTTTACAACCTTGACATGATTTGTCCACCAAATGAATATGAAAACGACGCAATGATCATAAGCTATAAATCATACCTTCATTATACTGCAAGTTTACGAAGTGAAAACTGCCACTAGGAATAAGGTCAGGCCGCATTAAGAGCTAGTTAAGCAAGTACACAGCTTTTAAATATTTATAGAGCAATTAAAACGCCTATTACCAAGTAACATAAATGAATTATCAGCTGTAGTAGAGGGTAGCTTTAGAAAAATAAACATTAATTATGTGATATTTAAATATTAATTGTAAGTACGGCCACTAACGAACATAACAAATGGCCAAATGAAATGAACAGCTTTCTATTTCCATTTAATACATCCTACAAAGTGGATCAACAACTTCCAAATATAAAACTTATTATGTTATTAATACTGCCTAAGTAACAGTATGAAACGTTTCATATCCTCACAATGGAAAAAAAAATTGTAAATGTTTTTGAATTAGTATTTCCAAAAATTTAACCAAATGATGAACTCAAGTGTCATACTTATAAATATCATACGTTTGGTTGTTAATTTTCAAAACATGCTACAGTAAAGGAAACATGAAGATTCTATGTTCTCATTCCTTTTTTAAAATAATGACAAACTTTCATGGATTATTTTATTTTAAGGATAAAGTTGTTAATATAAGATAAGTATAAACCTAATCGAACCTTAAACTTCCATGTCGATCCCTTCTTACTTTCCTCCACGAATTGTCAATACTGAAATTTACAAAAAAAGATTCACATTATCACCTAATCTAAATGTTTGACTTTGTTTTAGAAGTTCGCCTGGAGGTTCAGGCAGTTGATACCTTGGTAATGATTCGCTGTTTATCCATGCCAACAATTTTAGCCCTTTTTGATTGCCGCAATACTATTACTTTAATTACAAAAATTAAATTAAACTTTAATAAAATCGTGGCTGTGATGCTTCAGAGGTGTTGGATCATGATAATTTACACATTATTATGAACTGTGCAATGGCATTGGGTAAATGCACTTTTAATCTTTAACCACATCTTATTTAACACAGCCTTAATTAATTTATTACGGAGTTAATCCAACTTCTTCAACTTGGAATTAGGTCCTTTCTTAGCAACACTCTGTTCTTTTTTTTTTCCTAACAAGATAAAAAGAATACTGGGGAAGCTAGGAGAGAGCGAGCAGAGAAAATCAGAACCTACCGCTGAGAGAAACCTATTGGAAGTCTCTCCGACAAAAGGTCTTTGTTAGCATGGTCTTGTCTGTGTCGCATATAGGCTCCGAGTCGTTGGTTGACCTACACATGTTGATGGACAGGGTATTTTCAACGGTGATTACGGAGGGTTGAAGGAGGTAAAGGAGTACCAGAATAACGCACTCAAAAACAGAAATCGTAGAGAACAAAGTAACTGACAGAAAGAGAAAGGTTATTTACATGTCATGAAGACTTATGCGAGCCAATCTGATAAACGCCTAAAGCTTAGTCTGAAACGTAGGCACACAATAAAACAAGCCATCGTATTTGTGTGTAATTTCATTAACGATCGCATTCTCAACCAACTTCTTCTAATATTATTAATGAATGAAGCCATAGCCAAAAATGATAAAGAGGAAAAAAATTACATAATAATGAACAAATGCGCAGGTCCGATTTGACTCTGTTTTGAGCTCACGGTTAGAGTCTCCAGTGGGGCTCCTTTGATGAGTTGAATTAAATTCCTTAAGTTAATTAGATAATTCTTATTAATTATTTTTTTCATTTTCTATAACAATAACAAAATATATTTAATTTTCTCAGTTACGCTGGTCACTATTTTACATCGTTATAAATATTTTGTTTCCCTTTTAAATCCGACGTAACTATTACATAAAACTCACTATCAGTTCTATAAAACCAAGCTGTAATAAATATGGGCTAAGAAAAAATGTCTTTCTAATGAGCACAATATGGTGGACTGAAAAAGTTAACAGCTAAAAACCTGAGAGCCCTCTCGTTGTGAAGAATCTTTTCCAGTCAGTTTGCTACCCCTCTTAGTGTAACTAGCGTTTGACCTTCATTAAAATCTCTCTCGGATACTTTCATTAAAGATCTCTTTTAATCTTTTCTTCTTTACTTTCCGCTTAAATGTCATTTAATTTGAGCTCCAAAGGTTCTCTTTAAAAACTCTATCCATCGCCAGGAATTGTTAAATAGGTACTTTTCCTCTCATAAATTTTTAATCATGAGAATAAATAAATAATTAATCCCCAAAAGAATACTATTTAAAAAAATAAAACGATAATTAAATAAAGTAATAAAATATCCATTAACCTTATAATGTTAACTGTACCAAATGAGTTAGTCGATAATGCAAGTAATCAGTGCTAACGATAGAGACATATTACCCAGACGATATCTCTAATGGTCTTAGATTGTTCCAATATGATCATAATTATTATTATTACCATGTCATTGCTGCTATTAAAATCGTAATTTATATTCATCAGAACGTAACTGAATTGAAAAACAGTAGTTATGATAATGATGATCTAATAACTACAAATTTAGAATTCTTTTATATAAATACTCATTGAAAATAATGATTTCATTACAAATTGTTTCGAAATTTATTAAACAAGTATTATATCAACTTGAATAATTAAATCGTTCTTGATTTTTTTTTATGTGAAATAATCTAGAAACAATTTTTTAATGAAACATTTCCATCAATGTTTGACAATTTTTCATTGTAATAAAAACAATTATAAGAAGTCTAGAAAAAATAAATTATTTAAAATAGAAATTTTTAATTTTAGTTTATTTAGATTTTTTGGACGGTGCATTGAATAAATATTCCACTCTAGTTATACGTAAGGTATCTTTTGGTAAGGCGTCTTTTCTTTATTTTGAATGGAAAAAGACGTTGAATAGCTATACAAAAAATAAATTAGAAACTTTACATTAAACCAGCGGCGGAGGAAAAAGAGAATTTTCCCTTCCAAAATAACAATATGGCTGTTAAAAGTATATCTACAAGTAACAGTACTTGTGAATAAATAAATATATGAAGGAGGAGAAAATTAAAAATACGAGTTCAAATTGCAAGGAATCGATCATTGAAAGTGCTTCTGTACTTAATCAATGAAACTGATTAATTACCTTGTCTGCGCCTGCGACAATCGATTCTAAATTGTTTGAGATATGAAATAGTTAGCAATCGATTTGTTACAATTTCTCCCATAGACAAGGTAATATTTTTCCCAAATTTTGTGGCCGTTATGAAAGTTCCCTTCCCCTAAATATATCCGGATTCACCTCTGCATTGAACACGTTTGAATTATTATCAAAACTTATTGAGCGAAACCAATTTGTTCAATCGGTTCGATTAAATATTTAGTTATTTGATGAGAGACGAGGTATAATATAATATTTTTTAAAAATAAATATTTGAACATGAAAAAATCATAAGGTGAGAACATTCTTTTACAGACATTTATTTTTTGTTTAATAGATCGCTACACGAGGAAGGAAGTACACGCTATATTTATATTATAAGTTAATATATTAAAAAATGAAAAAAAAACTCCCATATGAAATCATGGTCAAAAATCGAACAATAGAGCAAAGGTAGAAGGCATAGTATCTGGGAACTGAAAACAGGGACATTGAGAACTGCTGAGTATACAGGGCAGAACGCCAAACCTTTCTCTTCTTCGAATACCGCTGGTGCTACATACAGTCATTATCGGTTCAAGGAGACTTGAGAATAAATGTTGTAATGCGACTAAAATAGACAACGAGATCACTTTTACAACGGTATTCCAACTATTCGTACACTTTCACCAGATCAAGAAGGAGGAACAGCCCGAGAAAATACATTAAAACGCTTTCTGACTACTGCAGAGCAGGATTCCATTCCGCAAATGGACTCCCGGGTACCCCGCGAAGGAATCATCCTTCCAGCCGCTACTGGAAGGTCCTTGGGCGTACTCCGGGACAACCAGTAGTGGACAGTTATTAAAGAGAAAGCTGTAATGAGGTGACTCAGAGCGGACAGGTGCTGGCTATGGTTGTGTAACCAAGGCCTCTTTAGTTAATGGTGTCTTCAGTCCCCTTTCTGCCATACGATTCCGCTCCCATCATCACATTAGGGGAACTCATTTCCTCATAAAGGCCTTAAAGGTATCAGATTATTAATTAAGTTTATCTTAGAGGTTATAAATCAACGTTAGTAAAAACAAGAGCTTTCTGGGGTCAAAAAAAAGTAATATAATATATTACTCAACATGCCCCATTAGGAAATGTGCTACTGTATTACATCCTTAACTAGCGTGACATATTTTACAAACCCAGAATGGTAATAAGAAATGGAGAGGTTTATAATTATTATTATTGAGGGTCGTAGCGGTGAAATGATATATCTTACAAAGTGGCTAAAAAATGAAAAAAAAAACTTCCTTATAACTATGACTATAACTCATGCATCATATGAAGGAAAAGATAATTATAAGTCATAACAAAAATATCAGCTTGATACTTTTAATAATAAATAAAATATTTTATTTTCTTATTTATAATGATTATTATTCATGACTTTATGGATCTCACCGGACTTGAAAACGTTAACATATCTACTAAGTCTTAAATGGATCAATTAAAAAAAAAATGTTAAACTGCATTTATTTATCATGAATGATAAATATTCAGAACGCAGTCTTTTAAAAAAAATTAAAATTTTTTATTTGTGCCAACGTTTATTTACCATCATCGGTCGTATAATATTATATTTCTGATTGTATTTTAAAATTTTCAGCACTGAAGATGACCCACATGTTTGGGTTGAAAAGTTGGCACAAATAAAAAATTTAAACATTTTTAATATTTATCTTTATCACTCATGATATGTAGAACAGTCAAC